CCTGTGCCATTTATTGTGTAAAATGCCCCAAGACATTAACATTATCTCTGATGCTCAAGTTTTTCTTGGCTTTCTAGCTAACATTAGCTTGCTATACTCGTTATGGGTATAAATATAATTTTTCTTTTTTTTTTTTTTTTTTTTTGCACTCTTGCAGCTTTGAATGGATGACACCTGCAAAACATTTGAGGCAGTTGTTGATGACCAGAACCTATGCAAGAAACTCCATCTCATGCTCATTAACAAATTTTAATGTTATTGTAGCAGTAATAAGCCAAGTGTTTTTTTGTTTTTGTTTTCTGAATGCAGTTTTAAGAGTGTAGCAATGTAAGTCTTCAATTCAACTGAAAAGTACTGCTGTTGTGATTTAAGTCACAATTTTGCTCAGATTGACCACATTTGAGTCTTACCTCTGGTTTGTTGTAAGCATCTGCATTAGGTGCAAAGACTGTGAAGGGGCCACGATTTCCAAGTTCAGGAATATTATTTCGCTGTAAATTCAGTTAAATCAGTCTCATTCAGGCTAAAAACATCATTGTTAAAAATGACTAAGAATAAGCGTACCATCAGTCCAGTGTAAAAGTCTCCTAAACTTCTGTTTAGAATTTCCTAAAATGAAAGAAATAAGTTACTTTTAAGGTATTGCTACATTTGTGTGCCTGTTTACATTTTGCTGTACTTCTCACTCTTTTCAGGGTGCCTTTGCAAGTTTCTCCATCTCCAATAAAGCCAGGCCTACAAGTGCAGTTCCTCTCCAGGGGTCCTGTCATGGTACATTGGGCATACCTGTGACATCCTCCACTTTTCTGACATAGAGAAAAAAAATTGATAGTGACATTGTTCCATGCTATTCATTTTAATCTTTGAGCTGAGTGCAACAATGTCATTTGTAATACAGTGGTTTTCAACTGGTGGGCTGTAATTCAGAATGGATGAACAAGTGGGTCTGTTCTGATGAAACATTAACTTTTAAAACATTTAGAATAGAAACCAATGAAGAAGTCTTCTAATTAAGGACAATTTTGGTTTAAGTTTGTTCGGTAAACAACTCAGATGCTGTTGATGCACTTTTTGTGTAAATTGTGTATTGTGTAAATCTGAGTGGTGATGTAAAACCAGTTGGGAACCACTAATATAGTCCTTTTTAATGTAGTTACCAAAAGCACATACCTCAAGACAGACATTGATGGCTTCACATTGCTTTCCATCCCCAGAAAAGCCTAGTTTGCAAATGCACGCTGTCTGAAAACAAATTAAGTTAATATACGGTGTCATTACTTCAAATTGATTCTAGGGGTGAGTCGAATCTTTCTCAATTATGCATGGGTCATTTTTCACTCAAATTAAATGTTGTTTAATGCAGTGGTTTTCAGCGGTATGTATAATTTAATTACAACGTGAAGTCGTGAGTGTTATTTTCTAAAATAAGGTAGATGAAATATAAAAGTATGAGTTCGCTCACTTCATTTCGTTCACTCCTTTCTGATATAGTGCACTCAACTGCCATACATTTTTCATAAGCTGAACTCAAAGATCTAAGACTTCTATGTACACAAAAGGCCTGTTTCTCTCAAATATTGTTCACAAATCTGTCTAAATCTGTGTTAGTGAGCACTTCTCCTTTGCCGAGATAATCCATCCACCTCACAGGTGTGGCATATCAAGAAACAAAAGTGTTGCGTTTATAATTTTGTTCAGTGTATGTATGTGCAAATAAACACCGTGTATGTGCACTCTCTGATAGCTTTTTGCATGAGCACAGTTCAGTACATATGGGCAAAAAAACACTCTGATAGAGGAACTGTTCACTGGTCATGCCTTCAGACAGATCACCACATTCTACAAATTCAGAATGTTTTATTTGCTTTTTTTAATTTGTGTTTAGCTCTGTTCAATAATTCTGAATGGATCGGTATAGATTTATATACAGTCAGGTTAATGCACCTGGTATAGTGGTCTGTTGGCACCTCCGTGTGGTCCTGTTTGGTTTTACAACTTGACTTGTAGCTAAAATGCTCTAAACCAGGGGTGTCAAACTCAATTCCTGGAGGGCTAGAGCCCTGCAGAGTTTAGATTCAACCTTAATTAAACACACCTGACCCAACTAATCAAGTCATTCAGGCTTATTTGAAAACTACATGGTATGAGTGTTGGAGCAGGGTTAGAACAAAACTCTGCAGGGCTCCGGCCCTCCAGGAATTGAGTTTGACACCCCTGCTCTAAACGAATGCAACATTTATTTTCTTTCCTCACACTTTTTGCTGTTGCACTGTATACATAAATTGGGAATTATGAAAATCAAAATGTTTTATGTTTATTAAATGTATATAAAAACTTTCATCCTCAAGCTTGAACTTGGTAAAAACAATTTATTTAAAATGTTTCAAGTCTTAATACTTTTCCTTTTGTTATACTGGGATTAATCATACCGGGATGTATGTTAAAATTGTTGGATGTGGTGCCCTACCCAGAAAATTTTCCACCAGCAGCCACTGGTAAGAAGCCTTATTTGGCAAATATTTCCTCTGACTTTTTGAACAGATTTAGTCCACAATTATTTTATTTTGCATTACATTCATGAGAATTGTTTATACAGTGTTGATATTTATGGTGTTTAATTTACAACAGGAGAAAAAATGGTTTCTTTCCACCTAAAAGTGAAAGTTTTTTTTGGGAGGGTTATTAAGAAAGTATTGCTTAAACCGTATGGGAGTATTTCTGCAGCCTTTATGCTGCTAAATAAATGCTGAAATGTATTTTTTGCGGTTTGAAATGTAATGCTTTGTGGCATTACACTTGAAACCGCTAATAAACCTTCAGATTATTATTATTATTTATTTGTTTATTTTTTTTTGATAGGGGGTGCAGAGGTATTCATTAATTAAATTATTCATTAATTAAAAACTAACAGATCAGCTGGAAGTTGTATTTTCAAACTTTGAAGTGTTGTTACTACAACTCGTATGCTCCTTAAACATTTACAGTACATTTAGAACATGATGTATTGTGTTCCCTTTGATTTCTTTCACTTTTCTTTACTTGATATTAAAATTACCTTCATAAAACCTACAGAAACCCTGGATTTACTTATAAAATTGTATTTGATTTGTTTGTTGGCTGTATGAATGGTCTGTTTATATTTGCGTCCTACCTTATTAGGGCCTGTATGAATGCAGTCACCATCTGCATGGCATCCCCCATTATTACCATCCAGGCATGGATTGATGGCTTCAAAAACACACACAATCATTAACACATATCAAATACAATAAGTTTGTTTCATTTGGAATACACAGCACTGCAGTCACGGTATATACAGTATCTCACAGAAGTGAGTACACCCCTCACATTTTGTAAATGCAATGTAAAGTAGTGAGTGTACAGCTTGTATAACAGTGTAAATTTGCTGTCCCCTCAAAATAACTCAACACACATATATATCACGTTTTATCACACTTTTATTATTGTGTTTCTCCTGGACCTCAAACCCAGGACATTGGCACTGTAAGTGTCATGGACTACCAGTTGTGTACACTACCCTTCAAACTGGATATTAAACTGACATATACACTTACAAATGCATACTTTTCCATCGCCTGCATAACCCGGGTGGCACACGCATATTCTCCGTCCTGGGAGAGTTCGCTTGCACACGGCGTGGACCGAGCAGCCACCGTTATTCTCTGCACATGCGTCCACCGCTTGGGTTGGAGATAACACCATATAGTACATTAAACCACCATTTAGACTCATTGGCTACAAATGTTATTTGACAGCAGTATGTTTGAATGTTTCTTGAGATGCTTACCTGTGCAATATGTGCCGTTGCCCTTAAATCCTGCAGCACAACTACAGTAGTATTTACTGTCCACCACGTTCAGCAAGCAGCTACAACAAACATCAAACCCAAGTCATAAACGCAATATTTAAAGAGCATAGAAAGTATGAATGTCACAAAAGCAAATCCAGGTCACATTTTGCAAAAAGTGCTTAATCAACTGTAGATAAGGTCTTGCAATTAGCAATAGGTGTACACATCTAAGGAGGGAATAACCAGCGCTCTCTTCCACCTTCAATACCACGACTGAGGTGAGACCCTTGAGCAAGGCACCGAACCCCCAACTGCTCCCCGGGCACCGCAGCACATGGCTGCCCACTGCTCTGGGTGTGTGTTCACGGTGTGTGTGCACTTGGAGGGGTTAAATGCAGAGCACAAATTCCATACTCGGCCACACGTCACTTCACTTTCACTTTCTTTTGAAATATAGGACTAATACAAATTTAGATGCATGGTTCCCAAGAGGACTCAATTAAGAACTTTTCACAAATTTCAAACCACTCTCTCAGTTAGAGGAGTTTGATTTTTAAGTTAACATTTCACCCAAATTCACATTACCATTCAAAAGTTAGAATTTTTTCATGAAATCAATACTTTTCATCAGCAAGGACACTAAATTGACAAAAAAATACAGTAAAGACCTGTATTGTTTGAAAGTAGTTCCATTTCAATCCATTTTAATAATTTTTGAAGGATCATGTAACACTGAAGACTGACTGCTGAAAATTCAGCTTTGTCATCACAGTTAAACATTACATTTTAAAATGTATTCAGATAGGACACTTCTTTCAAACTGTAATATTTCATAATATTCTTGTTTTTACTGTATTTTTGATCAAATAAATGCAGCTTTGGTGAGAATAGGAGACTTATTTTAAAAACACTTCAAAATCTTACCAACCCCAACAAATAAAGCAAAAGATAATGCCTATTTTATTATTCTTAGAGAATGGAAACGGTAAAATTATGCATAAAAATTATGTAATTTTTTTTTTAATTGAACAATATTTTTGTTTTGATTTTGAGGTGTAATATGACATGATCTCTACAGGTTTTGTGTGATTTACCCAAGAATGTTTACTTGATACAGATGGTAGTACTGTAGTACTTCCAAGATGTTCTTCAAAGAAAGTAAACTTACTTGGCACTACTGTGGCATTTTCCTCTGCACATATCTGATGTAATAGCTGAAAAGAGTCAACATATATTATCTTCATTTTTATTTACAGATTACATTAAATATATACTCAGATGGTGCAAGGCATCCAAATGTATGTATCAACATTCGTGTGACAGGTGAGCATCATACCAACGTTGCAGTTTATTCCTCTCCAGCCCAGATCACACATACAGCTGCCGTCTCCATCCACACCGTCTTTGCAGCGTCCGTTGACACACTTACACTCTAAACAGAAAGATAGTGCATATGCAAACTTTGTATGAGCTAATTGTTTACAGAGTATGTAGTATATGAAAGTATGAGCTTTTAAATGTTTAATACCTTGATCACAGTGAATTCCATATTTTCCAGCTTGGCAAGTCTCACACGCGGTGCCGTTAAACCCCTGGTTACACTGACAGATGCCTGTGCCATTGATCCCATCTACACACACACCATTGGCAAAACAGGACTGACCTTCTGGCCCCGGACACTTCTCGCAGTTAATACCATAATAACCCGCACAACACTTTCTTTCCTGCAAAGAGAGAGAAACTGTTTCTGATATCTGCCTTATTTTTAACATATAAGAGGACATGGCCATTTGTAACTGGAATGTACTAGGCTTCCGGTGTCATCTGCTTCCAGTTATTTTTTTGCTGTACAAAACAGCTTGTTATGCTGCTTGATGTTGGAAACAAGTACCTATATTATTTTAATGTACCATTATATTATAAACACACTGATTTTCCATGCAAAGTTTTTCAGCACTTCATTATTCTTATTTACCCATAGCGGCTAATGAATCGCAAGTCTTGTACATTCACAGAAAATAGCTTACTTTCATATTGAAAATAAGGTGGATATCATCATGTATTTTTTTTTTTTTAAATGAACTCCAGAAAGCTCTGGCTGCTTGTGATTGTGGAAAGTGAATGAATGCATCTTGTACATACAATGTTGACTTTCTCACAAGAAACTTTGCATCCGATGGTCAGCAGTGTCTCTCCAAGGTATACTCGACTATAAATGCATCTTTTCTTTCGGCTCATCTGAGAACAAACAATGAATAGGAAAAGTTTCAAGTTTGTTTGTTTGTTTTTTTTTCCCACAGGGAATTTGGAAAGATTTCTACTCTTTTCTACTCGTTTGTGATTTCAATTAATTAAAATTTTTCAAATAAAAAATAAACTTGATAATTTATTAAGTTCCCTTACTAAAGAAATCAAAATGTGTAAATTGTCAATTTGTAATCAAACTAATATCAAATTATACAGTATAAATTCATTTTTCAAGTGAATCGTAAAATGACCGTCTTAATATAATATGAAATATTGGCATCCAAACATTTTTTTTTTTTTTTTGGACCACACTGTACACTCACCCGTCTTTTTGTTCCTGAAGGGCAAGGGTTCTCAGATGGGTGGAAACAGTCCATGCAGCGTCCCTACAGATACAATGTACATATTTAGATTGGATATTTAAAGGATACAAGTAAAAATGACTAGGTAAAATGGTTAAATAGATATATTGCACCGTGATAATTTTGGTGGTAGCTCTGTCACAGCGGTTGTTGGGAATGCTCAGGACTGCAGACACGGTGTGGATCACACCTTTACTGGTCTCTATATCAGTCACATTCACCTCAGCCTCATTTACAAGCAACTATGACAGAAAAATCTTTATAGAAGACTTAGCATTTGATTTACTAAGCTGACTTTTAAGCTGAATTTAGCACTGACTTACTTTCTTATCTTGCCGGAAAATTCTCAGTTGGTACGAAAAGCCAAGCATGGTATCTTTATACAGTCCATCCACCAAATCTCCATCTTTTAGAGTCTCATTTATTATAATGTGATACTGGGTCACATTCAAATCCTAGAAACAAATACACAAAATTCATGATGCAAAAATGAGACACTATATAATTAATATCACTACGGCTGTGTATTTTAGTGTGTTTGTATAATACCATTGACTCCTTGCCCGTTCTACTGAGGTATTCTCGGATCGCGCTGTCTGTTGGAGCAAACACAGTAAAGCCCGAAGACTCCTCCATTTCATCAGTCAGGTTGTGTTTCTGCATAAATGCAAAATAAGTACAATTCAAAAACAAGTCCAAGCCATATGTAGAGGATGATTATTTTTATTCATGGTGTGGCAGGCCTGCAAGACTTAAGAAAAATTAGCTGACTCACCAAGAGAGAGCTGTGGAAGAGAGTGAGATCAGCCCTCTGACTCAATACTTCCAGTAAACCTTCACTCATCTGTTGCTCAGGCATCAACACCTAGAGTGAACAACAGTGGCAAATTTCTTCAATCTGTGTGTATGTCATCACTTTATCAGTAAGTTTGCACTTTATTTTAAATTTAAGAAACTCTAGGGTCGTACTTTGTCAATAAAATGGATAACTCCATTCTTTGCTGCCATATCTCCATAAGTTATTTTTCCTCCTGCGACAATAGTGGTCTGAATAAAAAGACAAACAGAAGACATGATAAAGAAAATATCTTGGCGGAGTTGAATGACAGACAAAATTGTACTGGGATTAATCGAAAAGAAAAGCCGTTTCCCTCTTACATCATTGGTTGAGTAAACAGGAAGTGTCCTTTTTAAAAGGGAAAGCAGTCGTGGGGAAGGGGATGCACGGAGATCACTGAGGGCATATATCCCATAAACAATGTGACTTCTGTGAGGAAAAAAAAACAGCTAGTTGTATTATAACAATGAAAAAAAAAAAAGATTAATCATTATCAAAACTATTGAAATATGACAAATTAGCTGATGTGGTTGCATGACAATTATGTGTCGTTACTTGATGAGACTTGGAAGGTTACTGCGGGTCATCCAGAAGTCTTTGTCTTCTTGACTCAGTTTCTCTGTGGCCTGAGCCGATGGGACGAAGAGTGTGTAATTTTCTGTCTCTGACAGCAGTTGAGAAAGATCCGCTCGCTATGGAATATTTCAGATTCCAGAACTTATTAGGAACTCAAACATCATTTATACACAATCAGCCTTGAAAATCTGGACATAACATAAATAATAATCATAATAAATCTAAATTACTTACATTTTAGACACAATATTACCAGTTACTTTGTCTTTTTTTGTTCCAAAACAAATCCACAGCAAAACTGTTGGATGTCTCAGAGTAGTGACATATAGTGATAATAAATCAATGTTTTTAAACAAACTGTGAATGATTCATTGACTCACTCATTTAGTTCCCAAATGAATCAGTGTTTCTGAGTGAATTGCTTAAATTAATGATTCCTTGACTCGCTAATAAAAAGTAACTTGTCACCACCTAGTGGTGTAATGATGTAATCTGCAGAAAGAGTCAATAAAAACGCCCTATCACTAAAAGTATGGAGTCTGTCAGAAACGTGCAAACACAGACAAGTGATACAACCAGTGAAAAGCTTAAAAAATGTTGTGGACTATATATTAGCAGTCTCTTAAAGGGGTCATATGATGTTGCTAAAAAGAACATTATTTTGTGTCTTTAGTGTAATGAAATGTGTTTATGCGGTTTAAGGTTAAAAAAACACATTTTCCACTTAAAAGGAAATATTGAAATCGCATCATATGACCCCTTTAAAATGCTGCTTGTCCAATCATATTCAAGGACCAGAACTGTTGTATAAATGGGGTGAATTATGGTAATTGGGACATTTTTTCCCCAGTCATCACAATGCCAAAAAGTGTTCCAATTTTAATTCACTCCCTCTTTTAAAGAAAATTTTGACTCTAAAAACACAAATTACCAATATCCAGAGGTTGAATTCTAGAAGATTTGGGTTTGTTGCCACCTCCTGCAAAAAAAAATAAAAAATGAAACAACTAATGAATAATGTTATACAAATATCCTTTTTTAAGTAATAGCAGTTCTTGAATTACATACAGTATAAGCCTGACCTCTGTATAACCTCAACAAAAAATAATAGAAAAATAACACAAAATCATATACACAGTACCTGTGCTAGGGTTCCATAACAGATTTTTCCATCACCAGCATAACCGTCCTCACACACACAATGCCATCCACCAGGGTTCAGGAACTGGCAGGTGGCCTATGAGAAAACAGGAAAATGAAAGAATTCCGCATACATAGTATGAAAAAATGTGTGCAGTTCTATGATGATTTGTTTGAGCCCTCACCAGGAAATGACATCCACCCTTCTGCTCCACACACTGATTGACAGGTTCACAATCCCTCCCATTGCCGTGGTAACCATTTTTGCAAGCACAGTCACTCTAGGGTAGAATATCAATCATAAAAAATCCTGTAAAGATGGGGTTCGGGAATCACAATGCCCCCTCACCTGTCCTGGGCCTACATAGATGCAGGTGGCATTGGGGTGACACCCTCCTCTGGATGGATCCAGACAGTTATTGATGGCCTGGCACTCATCTCCATCCTCTCTCCATCCGCTCAGACACTGGCACGTGTGTGTGCCTGGACCAGTCTTTATGCATTTGGCCTGAGAACAAAAGAGATTAAACATGCTATCATAACATGGTAACATTAAACACAAGCACACAGATGCGTCTGACTTACATTGATGCTGCAACCTCCACGATGTGGCAAAGCACAAGGATCGCTTTCCACGCACATGTATCCATCCCCTTGGAAACCAGGCTTACACACACACCTAAAATCACATAATGCATCATTGATATTTTCCTTTCTTAAAACTTTTTTTTTCTTTTTTTTGTTGAATATCTGATAATGATGGTCCCCTTGCAAAGGACTCCCGTAATGCACTAAAAAAGCAGCTATACATGTAAGACTCATTCATGTGTGATATTAAAAATTAAATAATTAAATCTGGACATCATTGTAATAATAACATTGTGATTTTAAAATTAATTAAATATGGACATCAGCATAATAATAATAATAGTTATTATTGTTATTATTCAGAAAAACTATTAATAATTCAAATGCATTTATAAAAAAACTGATATATTATGCATATTATGTGAAGCAATATTATGGATAGAGGACTCATAAGAATAATTTATAATGTGTGAAAAAAGCATTTTGATATTAAAAGTGAAATAATTAAATCTGGACATAATCATAACAACAATAATTTCTAAATAATTAATAATGATTCAAAAGCACTTTTTTACAAAAAAAATATTTGTCTAAAGCAACTGCAACTTTTTAATTTTTTAAAAAATATTTTTTCTTTTAGATTTTGGCACCCTTCGACACCAAAGGTCTCCAAACTTCAGTTCAAGTATAGTATTGAATAAATAAAAGTAGCAAATTAAATAAAAAAATATATATATATATATAAAATAAAAATGTTAAACAGACACTCACGTGAATGCTCCTTTATTGGACACACAGTTAGCATGAGCATGGCAGGGCTGGTTGGGCCCACACAGCTGGGTCTGCTGCTCGCAGAACTCTCCGGTATAACCTTCTTTACAGGAGCCCTGCTTGCATTTACCGCTGGCCTCTGGACGGTGATCACACACGCCGTGTATGCATCCACAGGCTGGTGTTAGGAGGGATGCAAAGAAAAACAAAAAAAAATTGTTACTAAACATCTGGAATATTCCCAAACCCCCATGCTGTGAGTTGGTCAAGAAATAAATTCATACTTTTGTCACAGAACGGGCCATATTTGTTGGAGTCGGAACAGTATTGGCACCGTGATCCTTTGAAATTGGGCTCACACTGGCATGTGCCGTTTCCATTGATGCCCTCTGAGCACTACAACAAAAGAAAATATAAGTCAAGAACTTATGACATATGAATAAATGCTGAATTGTACAGTATGCATGCATGTGAATGTGCATGGGGTTTACCGTCCCATGAGAGGAACAGGGGGCGGTGAAACCACCCGGGCATGGGGAACAGTCTGGTCCAAAAAAGCCTTTACAGCAACGAGGGGTCTGGTCAAGACAAATAATGGCTAATTTGACTGGATCAGATTAACCAGCAAAGCTAGATGCAGTTTCAAGTTATGTCATATGCTCTGGTATTAAATGCAGATAAATACTAGTGAATCAAATACTCACAGTCTTTGTTTCATTGCATAAGAGGGAACAGCCAAGGGTGGGTATGCTTATGCCAAAAGTCTCCTTTTTGAATACACAGCCTCTGGTGAATATATCCTGAGTATGAGGAGACCACAAATGGGTTATAAAAATAAAAGTGTGGCTACTACGTACAATTTCACTCCAATTTAAAGGAATAGTTCACCTAAAAGTGAAAATTTGCTAAAAATGTGCTCACCCTCAGGCCATCCAAGATGTACAGTGGGTACGGAAAGTATTCAGACCCCCTTAAATTTTTCACTCTTTGTTATATTGCAGCCATTTGCTAAAATCATTTAAGTTAATTTTTTTTCCGTTGTTTCCTCATCTGAACAAATGTGGTGAAATTTAGCATTGCATCACTTGCTCACCAATGGATCCTCTGCAGTGAATCGGTGCCATCAGAATTAGAGTCCAAAAAGCTGATAAAAACATCACAATAATACACAAGTAATCCAAACAGCTTCAGTCCATCAATTAACATTTTGTGAAGAGAAAAATCTGCATGTTTGTATGAAACAAATCCATTATTAAGGTTTTTCACCAAAGAATAACAGTTTGGACTGTTTTCGCTTGTAAACGTTACTTGATCTGTGCAAATTTCTCTCCTGATTCAGATGACTTTTTTGGAGAAAGCGAAATTATGGATAGATAACTTGGTCTGAATTTAAAAACATGTTAATGATGAATTTGTTTCTTAAACACATTCTTCATGCTTCAAATGACATTAATTGATGGACTGGAGTCTTGTTGATTGCTTACAGATTATTGTAATGTTTTCATCAGCTATTTGGACTTTCATTTTGACGGCACCCATTTATTGCAGAGGACCCATTGGTGATTGGCAAGTGATTAATCAAGTAAATTTCAACAAATCTGTTCTCAAGAAGAAAAAAATCTAATTTATATCTTGTATGGCCTGAGGGTGAGTACATTTTTGGGTAAACTATTTATTTAATGCCAACCTGATGCAAACCTCAGTTGAGCCTAAAAGGTAACATTTAAAACAAAGGTTTTATTTTTTTTTTAACTTAAGCTTTGCTGTTTTAAATTATAGCATGCACTAATGGTTATTTCTGAACAATTTACCAGTGATTCACCAGTTGGACAGGTAGATTTGGAGACAAGTGTACAGCTAACACATGAATCCTGTAACAAAAAAACAAAAAGACACCCTCTCGTGTCAGTTTGGTAACAATCACTTGTTGCAAACGAAAGGGAGGTGGCCAATCTATTGTGCGTGTAAAAGAACAAACAACAATTTTAAAGATGAAGTGTGTAATTTCTGTTGTTTCTAAACCGGTTTCATGAACACTGCCCCCCTCTGGCATTATTGTGGCATCCCATAGTGTTTATGCTCTTTCCAGTAAGTCAAACTGTGAATTGCTTATTTGTAGGTGTCTTTAAACACTGAACTGGATTTTTGACATAGAAATACCTTCAAGACAGAAAGGTGTATCTGTATCTACAGCTAAATCGCTATGACTGGTCACCACAAATACGGCTTACCTTATAAATATTGGTTTCTTTGATGTCACACCTCTGAGGTATGATGGGTTCTATGGACGGAGGGATTAGAAGCCCCTCCAGTGAATGAAGACGGCCATTCTTCGCTTCAACATCCAGTTCCAGAACCGACTCCCCATTGACCAGGATCTGCCCCTATATGTAACAGAATCAGCACATTAACTATTAACCACTAATATTTGACCATTAGAATGTGTATAAATATGTATACTTTTTGTGTTACTTTTCAACAGTACAGTAACATTTTAAATCAAAAAAATTTATTTTTCCTTTTTTGGATTTAGTTTTAGTTAGTCGAGATAATAATCCTGACTTGAGGTCACGTGAGATGCAGAAAAGCAAACACTTAATACTGTAGTTTGAATAGCAAAAGAAAGTGAACTACTTGCAGTGAAGAATTCACAGATCCCCCCCATATTTGCTAAAATATAAACTTGCTGCAATATGGTGCTAAAACATGACTAGATAAAATACACATGTGGATTTAGGTTTATGTCTCTTAAATGCATGTGAACAAATATTATCTATTTCAGCTAAATATATAACAAAATATGATTACTCACAGCACTCGTTACATTAAATGTCAGCACCTGGTCGGCCATGGTCACAGCACGAGGATTCGACACAATGAAGCTGGCACTCAGCTGTGCACAGATATGACAGACAGTATTTAATTAATGATCTAGAAATGGATTTGAATCAAGCGGCAACCTCCCGCTATCTCTCATGAAGCCAACACGGAAGTGACTTAAACTGTAATTCATCGACTGGCCACTAGAGGCTGGCTGCAAAAGGGAGTCAATCCCATAGACTCGCCATGTTAAAATGCCCAACTTTACAGCAGAATAAAACATGTTTACAGCCTGGTTCAAAAAATGATTTTGGTCTATATAGTTAATTTTGCCCTTCATGACAGCTGTGACAGGTGACAGGTGGATTGCCGCTGCTGTCACCAGTGGCGGTTCGTGGGTTTTAAAATAGAGGAGGCACACTAATTGTATTGGTCTGGGATCCCTGACGATTATTATTATTATTATTATTTGCTTAACCACTTTAAAATGGCTTTTTGGTTGCTTTTAGTTAGAAAACGTAAAGAAAACGACATGCATACTGCAAGATAATATAATTTCACTTACCTGGCCTATCACTTGAAGCAAACATCCATCCCTTCTTAAATACATACATTCACACACACATTCACACACAAACCTGAGAAGTGGACACTATGTGATTGCGCATCAGTTCAAGTAGTTTTGTCTTACCCTAAATTGGGAGAAATGAAAAGATAATGTAAAGTGATGCTTATGTGACTGGATAGAACATATACAGAGAATGTTACACACACACACACATATATATATATATATATATATAAAATTAAGCCATGTTGCTTTTCTGAGAAAAAGAAATATCAAAGTGTTCAAAATATATATACATCAAAGAATCCTGCAGTCTTGGTGAGCATAAGAGAATTCTTTCATTTAAAACATAAAAAAAAATCTTACAAACCCCCACATTTTGAATGGTTTTGTATATTTCCACAAAAGGTAATTTAATTTTAAAAGTAAAATCTAATAACTCACATTCATATTTGATTTGAATGGACTGATTAAAGTAATTGAAACAAAAGGATGACCTAGGATATGTTTTATATTGTCAGAAAAAAAATGACCTATTAAAAAATAAAAAAAAGTCTCTTAAAATCAGCTCTACACTGTATTTAAAAAAAATGTGCTGGTACATTTCTGCCAGGACAATATCCAATTAATTTTACAGATATTTCTGTTAACCCTAAAACAACTCTAAATAATGCAATGAAGTGCAAAATTCAAAATACAGGTAAAACTTCAGATTCCTTCATATTAATATAGAACACTGTGGCCTATTTTATGGATTAGTTGTTTTATTGTTTTTTTATACAGTTTAGCAAAGATTTGTCCTATAATAAAAAGGTCATTTCTAGCACAGGTCAATTGTCTTATAGTACATTAATTTAGGGTTAAATCGAGTTTAAAACTGTTACCTCAAGCAGAGACTTAAACTGAGAGAATTTTCCATTTCCTGAGAGAATCTGCAACAGGTTTTCCTGTTAAAAGACAAAAAGACAAATATACATTGTTGGCCCTCCTAACAATCAAAAACAACATTAAGTAAATGTAAGTGTATGATGTTTATGTAACAGAAATCCTTTATCTTCACAAACCTCTTTCTCGCTTATTACAGTGGAAGGAACTGCATCCATCAGCTTATCAACCAAATGGATGATTCCATTTGAGGCAAAGATATCTGTCTCCACAAGAGTTCCTTTCTTACGGCTGCCATGGAGACGGATTTTTATCTGCTCTGCCTTGAAAATAGAAGTTTACCAGTTACAGAAACAATCTAATGTAATCTCTTGTCATCTTCACACACACACACACACACACACACACAGTGAAACATAAACAGATCTGAGCAGGAAAGAGTTAAGAAAAGAAACAGGATGTGATGATTCCTCTCTTGTATCCTGCATTTGCACATCCCTGAAAACAATCTGGTCAAACACACACAACCTACATCTGTCATTGATTCGGCAGCCATGCCAGTCAGAGTGTAGTAGAGGATTCCCTTCTTCAGCGAGTCAGAGTTCACCTCTCCCGCAACCATGTGCAGCTTAGCAAGATAGCGAGCTCTCATCTCATTAGCCAGCAGGGTTTTCACCTGGAGCAAAAGCATGCTTTAGTATTTGTTTGAATGTATCCACCTTATTTTGCAACATGCAACTAAGCTGTTTTCTGTGAATGTGCGAGACTTCAGTTTGTTAGCAGCTATAGGTATAATAATAATAACTAAAAGGATAGATTAGACCAATACAGTAAACATTTCTATGCTGATCTGAAATGGTTTATATGGCTTATTGCTGGTTTGGTGCTGGTCTAGTCTAGCTGCTGCATCCATATAGCCATTGAAAATTTTACAGTGCTACAAAAAGAAATAAATACATTTGTTTTAAATAAATGCTGATATTTTGAACTTTATATTTATCAAAGAATCCTTAAAAATGTATCGCAGTTTGCACAAAAATATTAAACATCACAACTGTTTTCAAAATTGATAATACAAAAAAAGTTTCTTGGGAACCAAATCAGCATATTACAATGATTTCTGAAGGATTATGTGACACTGAAGGCTGCAGTAATGATGCTGAAAATTCAGCTTTGCATTATAGGAATTGCATTTTAAAATATATTAAAATAGAAAACAGTCATTTTAAATTGTAATAATATTTCACAATATACTGTAGTATTTCACAATAATTATAATTACGACAATATAATAAAATAATATGATAAGAAATACCAGTTTGCAATATCAAGCAGAAGTTGTATAGCTAAAAATAACTGGAAGCCTCACACATTCAAGTTACAAATGGCTGCATCCGTTCCTACATTAAAAAAAGGTGGATATGATCGATGTATCATATGTTGGTGTGTCTGTGTTGTCTAACTCACAGATGTGCCCTTAAAAGCCTTGTTCACTGGTACAAACACTGTAAACGGTCCAAGGGAGGTCAAAGGCCATGACATGAGTTTATCTGAAACAGCAGAAATAAAATTAGCACTACACTGTATGTGGCTACTGTGTCTATTTTATTTATTATTAGGAACTTTAACATGTTAGATAATGTCGACACCTAAATTGAAAGAAGAAAAAATCCTCTACCTTTGAAAATGATGAAAACCCAATAATAACAATAATAATAATAAATAAACAAATAAATAAAAAACTGGGATTGGTTTGCCAGCAAGTCACTCACTGAACAGTGTAATGGCACTGGAGAGCTGACCCGTCCACTCTCCTCCTGGCTTTGAATTTAAGTCCTGCAACTGCTGAATTATGTTCCCAAAGCATATTTTCCCATTTCCAATGTAACCTTCACGGCACTTACAGCTGAAATGTTTGAAATTGAAGGCGTAGTTTTGAATATGTGGAAAAAAAATCAATTAAAAATCAACCAAACAATTGAGAATTTGTCACCTACTCGACTGTTCCTGGTTCCACTGTGGCACAGGTGGCATATTTATGGCAGGAGTCTGGTTTGCACACATCTTTTACACTGCAGCCCTTTCCTTCAACAAACTTCTCAAATCCCTCCAAACACTCACAGTGAGACTGTGGAAAATTGAGAAGATGTCAAACCGTAATCAAAGCAATCGGTGCATTCATGCTGCTCAGAAAGGTGCAAAGTGTTTTAAAGTGTTTACAAACACACCTTTCCAGGACCATCATACACACAGCGTGTAGAGCCAGATGTGCAGTTGCCCAGGTTCGTCTGGCAAGGGTCTATGGGCATGCAGACACGGCCATCTCCACTGTAGCCTTCTGTACATGTGCAGACATGCTGGTTCGGTCCTGTATGTTCACACACTGCGTTTGCATGGCACACGCCTCTCAAGCAGGGGTTAATTGCTGCATAAACAGTGTGACAAAGAAAGACAATAGATTAGTGAGATCAAGAAGCCTCCTGAAATTTCCAGATTTGACCAGTACAGTATACATTCCTATGCTGGTCTGAAGATAGGTCAAAGTGTTAATTGCTGGTTTGGTGGTAGTCTAACTGGTGCATCAGAATAACCATGCTTTTCATGCTTTTTTTTTTTAAAGACTTTTAAAAACATAAAAAAAAATCTTACTGGCCCCAAACTTTTCAAACTTATATAATTATGATTATAACTTATTATAACTAATATATAACCCACTTCTCAATAAAGATTTAACAAACCTTTCCTACCATTAGCAGTGTAAGGGCAGTACTCACATGTACACTGGGTTCCATCACCTTGATAACCAGGTTTGCACATGCACAGAAGCTGCCCTGTGGACATGTCCTCAATACAACGAGAATTCGGCCCACACCGCAAAGTAGCACATGCTGGGAGCTCTGAAGAGAAAAAACACACTCACTCTTATGCTGCTTCAATGTCACATGTATCATATACACACAGAAATACTCCAAGGTCTTACCTCGATCGCAGTCTATGCCAGTGTACCCAGACAGACATGTGCACTGTCCTGTGCCCTTCACACCACTGTCACATATGCCATTCTTGCAACTACACACTGAATAGCACATGCATCAGTTAGAGCACAGTACCAGTACCAACACCAACACCAACAAAACACAAATCAATCAATACAGCTGTACAGAACAAAAAGTGACTCTAACCGTTACTGCACTTGTGTCCATATAAGTTTGCTTTACAATCCTCACAAGCTGTTCCCTTAAAACCTGGCTGCAAAAAAAGTCCAAAACGTCTCATCGGATGCTCAATAATAGTGTGTTTGATTCAGACAGAAGAAGAGAAGGAAAGGAAACTTACTGCACATGTGCAAGTCCCATTACCCGTTATACCATCCGAGCAGGCTCCATTATTGCTGCAGGGTATCGCTGCTGATCCTGGACATTCTATTGACAGAATAAAGGATGTCTTTAATTAGATTTCATGATGTTAAAAGTGAATAAACCTTTTTAAATTGTTTGTTTCAATCAGATAAAATGGCCAATTTGGAGACATCAGTCACACATTTGAGTAGAGAATGATGCTAGCAACACCAAGGTCATGGGAATGCATGGATTTAACCCTCATGTTGAGATCTGGTCATTTTGACCAGGAGAGGGTTTTCTTCTTCCTTACTAAAACTTATTGACTTTGCTCACAACTCTTCCAAAAAAAAACTAAAAAAATTTCATCTTGGTAGACTTTTGGTGTTCCGAGTCAAAAATGACCAGCTTACAAAAAAATTGCTTGTAAATCTCTCATTATGCTATATTTTTATCAAACACTGGATTCAGTCCTTTGATCGACTTGCTCTATTTCAATTAGCACAGGTTTTGTTTTCTTTTTGGAATTGACTGGTTGTAGGGCTTACTGATCTGAGCTTATGCACCTCAGTTTTTGAGTGAACATTGCCAAAATTAACCATAAATAATGCTTTATTTTGAAATAATACTTTGAATAATATTTTGAAATACTCAAAAACTGAAGTGCATAAGCTCAGATCACTGAGGCCCATTCCCAATCATTTAAAAAAAGAAATAGGTTAAAAAACTTGTAATTGAAACAAGTTGACCGAAAGATTGAATCCAAGATTTGGCGATAATATTGCATATTGAAAGATTTAAAGCAATTTTTTAAAAGGCCAAATTAGGTAAAAGATTTTCAGCACAGCACAAGTGTTAAAACATATATACCAGCACCTTGAAAGTAACATAAGATTTTTTGGATAACTGTGCCAACATGCATAAAATCTAAATGTAAAAAATTTAAGTTGTTTTAAATTTTGCTAAGGCGAGGTCAGCAAGACTGGGTGAGAGTGACGTGAGGGCACTGTGCACTCACTGATCTGAGATCATGGTTTTCTAAGACTGATCTTTGGTCAGTGGGTTTGGGGTGGTATAGTCTCTGCAAGAGGATATGAGTTAGCAGAGTTTCTCTGTTCTTCAAACAGCCCCTCGTCTGTTCCACTGACCCTCATTCATCCTTTCCTTCCCGCCATTGTTGCCCTGGACACTTAGTCCTGACAAAATCCCTTCATCGAGATCAGATCCTTCCCAGCAACTCATACATACACATACATCAGCCACAGACATGACACAACAAATAAAAGCCACACTTGCAGAATATGCAGACAGTTGGTGATGAGCAGGCCCACTTTCTGCACTTTCTTCACATTTTCTGTACTTACTGAGAAGGACAATTTTGTGCAAATGGGTAGAATACTAATCTTCACAAATGAACAAGTTCAAAACAGTGACTATAAATCCAAGAAAAATGCTACATGTTGCTCTATGCAAATCAGATTTTTGGACAGTCTAGTTCTGAATTTCCTCCCATAATGCTTCACTAAGCTTCCATAACGCTGACCCGTCTCATAGACGCAAAGGTCAAATCATTTAACTCTTGAGGAACAATGCAGGAAGTTCTGCTGATAAAAGACCAAAGAAACCAAGACAACACACAGCAACTAAAGTGCTTGACTCAGCGAACTCATAGTGGGATCTGTTTGAGTGCTGACAGACAGAGGAAATACTGGAAATGAGACCTCCACAGTGTGTTGGTCAGCAAATTCCTGTGGTACGGAAGCACAGACCTGCCATATCCCTCTCAGAGGGAAGGAAGTGCACAAACCCCTTGTTCCACAGCAGCTCAAAACTTCCTCTCATAGTGTGTGACAAGACACACAATAATATGTCAGCTTATATGTACTGGACATACAGCTCCCACAGGAAAAACAACTGTGAGAAACAACACCATCATGGTCTCATAATCACATAAAATGTTAAAAATGGAAACAGAAAGGATAAAGTGTGCCTCCCAAATATTGACAACTTTGGAAGGTCACATTCATACATATGGGATTTATATCCCTAGTCAAAAAAAGAATGCTAATGGAATTACTATCATAATTTGAAAGCGATCCAAAAGGATCTTATCAGAATCAAATAAGAATTCTACTAAGACTCACATAAGATACTGCTGGATAAACAAAAATTCCTACATCCTAGTTTATTTCTTCTGGAAGTTCAGTTGATCCAGTAGGATCATATTTTATTTTTAGAGGATGGATGCTTTTATTGGTTATATTATGTCATTGCGATCCCTTAGGATTGGTTAAGACAAAATTATGAGAAATCGTCATTAAAAACTGATATGAATTATGACAGAAATTCTATTTCCATTCCTTTAGGATCTTTTAGACTAGGAATAATAGTAATAGTTATGTTTTTCAACTTCTTTTCCCAGGAGGAGCCATGTTTCCCCTTGTTTGTGTTTCAGTCTTGTTAGTGGTCGCATCAGGATAGTTCCTGTCCGACTCTTCCGATCAAAATATTCCCTCAGTGTATCTTCCCTCACAGAATGATGGAAATTCCAAATTCCATTTAAAATGTGTACAAATCAGAAAAGAACACAACAATCGTTTTAGGTCATATTCATCTGGTTTAAGAGGTTACTGATGTCATAGGTCTTCTATGGAACAGAATTTAAACAGAATTCTACACAATTCTTCTTCAATGACCTCAAACTCACCAATGCAGTCATTGCCCCAGTAACCTGGACAGCACTTGGGCTCCACCGTGTCTTTGTAACACTCGAACGAACAGCCCGTGACAGACAAAGCTAATGTGATGTGATACCTAAACACACATTGAGAGATTATTGTATAATTATTGCCTCTGTATTTTGCTTATGCACAAAGGAAACTCCTCATCTTGTCACAAAAGCTGTTAAAACAGTGGGCTTTTTTGTCAGATATATAATAGTATGGCATTTAATTCTAAATAATTCAAAGAGCTTTTAAACAAATTGTTACTGTCCTTGTGTACACATTTGGTCCCCATAATAGCAAAACCTTACCAGCACTCACAAACACACATTTACCTGCAGTCCTTTGCACTTTTCTCTGGCTGCCTCTTGGTGTAGCCATCAGGACATTTTACTAAAGGCGTCAAGGAGCAGGAATGACACCTTGATGTAGTCACCACCTGGATGTTCTGATCACAGCGGTTCTGGCCACAGACACCAAACAAAATCACATATAAACACACATACACATAGCATATTAGTTCTCACAACAAAAAAAGCAAACAAAAGACTGTGTTCAGTGCAATGTTCTCTTTCATATGGCATTTTCACAAAACCAATAAAGTTGGAAAGCATGCTGATCTTAACACCTTTCATTGATTTTCCAAGGAGATTTACCTGATTCGTTCATGACTTTACAGCTGACCAATAACATTCTCAGGATTATCTTACCCAGCATTCCACTGTGCATGTCAGACGATACTGAAGAATTGCTTACATAATGTGTCTTAAAGTGCTACATTTTTCAACTGCAACCACAGAAATGTAAACATTCACCAACTAAAAATAGAGAAAGTATCCCTGGAAATGGATATGAGCATTAATATCGAAGAGAACTGCATGTTTATGTTGTTCTATGATTGTAGACTGACAAAGTATGTAAACAGGAAACGGAAGTAGAGCAAGTTTTGATTTGAGACCGAGTTAACTGATTAACCTTGGAAAGCATATATATGTGTCAGTACAAGTAAACCAAAAAACTGCTTTCTCTATTAATTCTACTCTACTAACTTGTTTTATCTTGCAGAATAACTGTTAAAATCAATATGTCACTTATGATCACCCATATTGCATGGCATGTTGTATGAGTGTGAATCTCACCTGCGATGCTGCACCAGCTGTACAGAGTATCTCAGTCCCCAGCAGTAGGATCAGACCTCCACAGATTGAGTTTAAGAAGAGCTTCATGGTAATTATACTTTCTGTTTCTTTTTCACACTCTTTCTGGCTCTCTGAGGTCCTTCAACAGACTGTGGCTACACAGGTTGGCCTTCTGCCTTTTCAACAGGTCCTCCCTCTCTCTTTCCTGTACCGCAATAACATGAGAGTCAGAGGGCGACACCTTCCCCTAAAATTTCAGGCAAATGCCTAAATCCCTTTCAAATTACACATACAATTATCACTCTTTCGTTAACCATACCAGAGAAACCCATTAAATAGAGAAAATAATTATGCTTGGTGTTGTGTTGAGACCCAAGAGCACTGTAAAATAAATAAATAAATCAATCAATCAATCAATCATTTTCATATTGTAGTGTTTTTTAATTGTTTTTAGTACAAGTAATATTTAAGTTTACTTTTAATGGTTTAATGTTTGTTTTTAAAATCATCTTTTTCTTGTTTTAAGAATGTTGTTCTAACATAATCTATCTAAATTTAGTTTAAAAGCCAGAAAGAAAGAAAGAAAGAAAAAAAAAGCCAATGGGGAAAGTTTAGTTAAAGATATAATTCTGTTACAGAGGATTGATTTTGAAAATCATTTTTTCTAATTTGAAAGATGCTGACATATTTTTACTGGAAAACCAGACAAAATGCTGATTAAGAAAATTATTTTTGCAGCGCGGAAATGAGATCATTATGGAAGCTTGTTTCTATGGAATAAAAATAAAATAAATAAATAAGAAAGATAATTGTGACTTTTTTTCTCCCAATTATGAGTTTATATATCACAATTCCAACTATTTTTCTCCGAATTGTGAGTTTATATCTCGCAATTGTAACTTTTTTTTTCACCTAATTCAGTGTTTACATAAAAGTATAACAGGTAATTGCGACTTTTTTTCACGATTGTGAATTTATATCTCACATTTTGGACTTTTATTCTCAGAATTGTGAGTTCACATCTCGTAATTATCAAAAAGTCAGAATTGTGAGATATAAACTCATAACTGTGAGGAAAAAAAGTTAGAATTGTGAGTCGCAATTACCTTTTTTTTTTTTTTCCTCGTGGCATAAACAAGCTTACATAGATCTTGGTGCCATCAAGGAGAGATGTGGAGAAAAATCCTGATTTCTTTGGCATTGATGCAACACATTTACGATTATGAAGACCAATCAACAAATATTTTGCTGAATAGTTGGTGACCAATGCAGCTAGAAAGCTGGGAAGAAGCTGGTCAGTTTCCAGGAGCGATGAAACTGGTCTGTGTACGTGAACTGAATAAACAGAGCTCAAGGCAGAAGAATCACAGGATGTCCTCACTCATAAATAAGCCAAGTGGTCAGGTGACGATACCCTGTCACACACACACTTCCTGTATGTCTTGCTGCATCATGACTTTCCTTCCATAGTTCCTGAACTTTCATACTAAGGAATTCCTTGTAGACCACATGCGTCTGTGTTATATATATTTGGCTATGAGGTGGTTAGTATGTTTTATAATCATGAGAGTGCATATACAGCGCTGTGTTTTAACACTTATGCATGTGTTGATAGTTGTTTTTCCCAACTGCTTAGGAAAACAAATGAAAAACTGCATGACCACCCGCTCAACTGTCGTTTCTACGTGCCAAAAGCTATTTGAAATGGTTCTCTGAAATCTGCTCTGAATGGACTCCCAACCAGCTGTAAAAAATCAAACACGTTTTTATCCCATTTAAACTGTAATTGACACCCCAACCACAAGAACACAATGTACTTTACAATATGCTATAACAATGAACGTATGTGGGCCTACTCACCACAATAATTATTTGACCAAGTTAGTTTCTTACTGTTCAGAAGTTTCCTGAAATTGACATTTATACATGAATTGGGGTTTTGAAAGAGATGTTTTAGGACACTACACCTTTTCACTTACATATGCATTTCGCACATGGCATGCGCAGATTGCACACTCGACTGCTTTGCGATACTTAAACTGACCTTGACCTGACTTGCAGAAGAAAGTTGTGCAGTTGCAGGCTACACTTTCAAATTCCAGTTGTACAAACACGGGGACGTTCTTATTTCCATTTTTTGTTGTTTCCACATTTGCTTTGTGTTGTACAAGGAGTTGGTTGTGCAACAATTATGCGTTATTTACACATAAATGATCGATGATCTGTTATTTACATGTTAAAATTAACACATATATAAAAATGTATACAGTATATAAAAATAACGCATATTTGAACCTCCTGGCAAATCAATCAATGGGCAGAAGGAATTGTGTGCAACAGGTTTCATTTAGAGGCCTTGTTACAGTAGGTTTTATAGGACTAATATTGTGTAAAACCCTTTTTGGGTTTAATGAAACCTTCATTTTTTTTAATGCTAAAATAATGATTAAAAGTCAACGTCTTGAATCAGTCTCCCTCTTGTGGTCTTCTCTGGCAAGACTCTGTGACTCCACCAGAGGGAGGCAGATACAATCATGTCACTGATGGATGGATTCATTCTGTTCATACCCCCCCCTCCCCCCCTCCCCCCATATGTGTACAAGACAAGACAAGTCAGCCCAGTTCATATAGGATCAGAACGAATCGCAACTGTATGATGAATTGTTTAAAAAAAACATTTCATAGCAATATGGTGAGAGATAGTAAGAAAGAAACAAAGAAAACATACAGAATGAATTAAGGCAGAACGAGCACTAAGACGTGTGTAGAATCTTAACATTGACTCTACAGCAGTTGTTGTGGGAATCGTCGACATTTAAGCAACAGTTATTGGCAGGAAAACAGTGCTGTCAATCCAAAACCCCTCAGGCCTCAACCAACACAACCAAACAGAGCCACGAGCCCCTACGGACTTCTGGGAAGGCAGACAGAGCATGGCACCACTCATAGAGCGTGCAGGAATGGGCCCGTGAAAAAAGCGTGACTCTTGGCTTTGGATGTAATGCTATGCTTGGATGGACATAACTGATCATTCACATATTGAGACAAAGGATGAACGATGATCGGGATGAGCGATGACCCAGGTCTCCAAAGGCCAGCGTGGATCAAATGAACATCCAAAACATATTGTGCATATGTGCATGTGGTCGCACCACCCACTGCGATGCATTCAGTCTCGACTCAACGGCACACACACAGAAAAACTGAATAATTTCAGAAAAAAAAATCTATTCAGCTTAGATTAAAGGAATGTAAAATACTGCATGGAAATACCTCAAAAACCTCTGGGGTTCAGCATCAGCAAACACTGACTATGAAAGGCAGAATAATTTCATTAAAATATAAGGAAGGGGTGGGACCCCATATTCTTCCATTTATTATACGATTGAATTTCATCTGCAGAAACATTTGTCTTTGTTTTAACAGTTGTGCTGCTTTTTCCTCACCAAACTACACTTACAGAACATTAAGAAACAGTTTCAGCTCTTTAGCAATGATGGAACAAAACCTGAAAAGGTAATATTGCAGTACAGCAGATTTAATTTGACAAATCATCTAATTTTACATATGATTTAACCATTAAACACATACTACAGAGAATTAGAAGGTTGAAAGAAGGCACTGAAGAAACCAAGAGGTTGGCAGCCACCTGAGCTGTTGGCTACGTCTGAGAGAACAGATGTGTCCACGTGGACTCCTTTTGCCTGCATATCTCTCCAGGATGGGTTGGCACCAGGTTTCCAGGGCTGAAGGTCTGAGTGCTGCTCTTAAAAATATACCTGGAGGGTTACATTGATTGATGTAAGTTTTCAACGGAATTGATTTGGGAATCACTGTCTGTGATTCATCAACTTACTGCCCACAAGGTGCAGAATTGACCAAAATGATGACAAGGTTCTATTAGCAAATCTCTTCTAGGGTGAAATATCAGGTCAAAATGTCTCAATTGATAGCATGAATGATCTTCTGGAGGAACTAAAGAGTGAGAAAATGGCAATATTTCCAAAAGGAAATCATTTATTGGATGGAATTGGCTTGAGAGTCATGGTACAAAATAATCAGAATTTTTTTTTTCATGGACAGAAAAAAAGTCTTTAAGAAAGCTTGATGCAACTTGCACTCAGCGGTAAATACAACCACATGAGAATGAACAAGCAGACATTCAGAGTGAAATCACGAAATGCAACGTGAGAGAGACTTTCCAACGACTTTAATAGATTTGCCAGCATGTGCAAGAACTCACAGGAATTTTTCCTTCTGTCACTGGACAGAAGATCACTGATATGTTCTGCGTGTGCTGCCGTAAACGGTCAATGTCCTGTTGGCTGGAATGTGGCTACATAAAAGAGCCACTTGCATTAGCATTTAAGGGCTGTTTAAGAGAATGCAGCCATGGTATTTGGCACAACTCTGTTACTTCTAGCAAAGCACTACTCTTTCAGAGATGTGTGTGTGTGGGATTAGAGTTTAAGAGGAACGGAATGAGACAAACATCAGTCATAAGAAATAAGAACAGGAAAGACAACAACCATGATTCTTAATTTGAAATATATAATTAAATTGTAAATTGATAAAGCTGCTACTGCAGAACACATCCATTATCTACGCTTTTGGATAATACGTGTTTATTTGTTTAGGAGGAACGGAACAGATGGAGAAACCTCAGCTGTCACAAGCAGAAAAAATTTACAGGGTCTCTAAAAAACTTTATTTAAGATTAATTAAAATGAGGTGAAATTGCATACTTCCTTTGTTCATAATTTAATATGTACATTTAAATCATGAAATATAAAGCTACAATTGCAAAATACATCCTTTGGGAATTATTTCTGTCTTTTATTTAAGGGATTCTCTTTTGCAACCTATAAAACATTGTATCAAAAAATATCTTGGCATATTATCTAAATAATTCCCACTATAATTCATCATTAACTGTAAGAGCCCTCAATACAATCCCAAACAAAAGCATATATTTACACTTTTTCTGCTGTTCCCAGTATTTTAGTTCCCTTTATGCTCCAGTTATATTCCACAGTCACTATATACAAAATGGCTTGATTTCCACTTGAAGCCCATGGGAAGAGTTACACATGTGGACTTAAAAGGGAATATACCATTTCTCCCTGGTTTTGGATTGCCAGTTGCCATGGATAATTTGTCAACACGCTTGTTTGTATAGGCCCAACTGGGCTGAAAGCGCAAAGAAGGTCCACTTCCACTCACAAGATCCCTCCCCAAGTAGTAGCTCTACTTGCAGGTGTGCATGTCGTTCATCGTCTCACAGCGGTGACAGCGAACGTAACAGCACCAGACGAACTTACACTCACAGCGCTCTACATGTCGTACCACGTGCGTGTTGTAGCCCCGCCCACAGCACAACAGGTTACAGCCGTCCGGCCCGGCTGAAGTTCTGTTACACCTGCGGCCCCTAGTCCCCATCATGCCCAACCGCCGGTCCTCCAAGCAGTAATTAGGCGATTTGTTGAAGAAGATTAACTCTTCTTTGCCAATAGGCATGTGGCGATGGTCTTTGTCCTTACGTCGCACCTTACGTTTAGAGCGGTCCACCACCTGAACGCTGTTTTCGTAGCGCTCCTTCAGGTAGGCGCCCACACGCTCGAACGCAGCCATTGTGCGCCAACAAGTTTTTACCGCACACGAACCCGACACGCCGTGACAGCGGCAGTCTGTCAACATTGTTTTGGCCACTGCCTGTAGAGGAAGAGGATACGGAGATCATTATATATCTGATCGATAACAGATAGAAGCTTGGAAAATAGCTTGTTTTACTAGACAATGTAAGCATGAAATAAATAAGCATGCAGACATGTGAACTGTGATTTGAGCATTATTTCAGCCTTCCAACATTTTTGCAATTTATTTTGACAGACTTCCTGGATTTCAGGCAAAAACGTGGAACTAATGTAAATCGGCGAGAGAGTTAACCTTGGTTCACTATAAACCACATTTCCAAGGACTATATAATTTTGGATGAAGCTTTTATATTCTCCCATCCGTTCATATTCTGCACCATGAAAGCGGACAGAGGATTTTGTTAGCTGACGACTTTCATAAAATGGGAGCGTTTGTTTGGGTGAAGGATTATGGGGGCCCTTCGCTGACTTGAGGGAAATTTTGTCTCGCTTAAATGCTCCTCTGTGGTTTCCAACCACTTAGGGTTAGGGTAAGGGTCTCCAAACACTTACAAGTCAAGGCTGTGGAATTCGGTGCAAATCATTAAGCTTCTCAGATTAATCAAGAACATGTGGGGAGATGTAACTCATTTGATCAACAAATTGCCAGAGCTGAAACAGCCCATAACTATTTCTGCTCTTATTTGGTTGCTTTGAAATGGTTTTTCTTGTCAACCAGAACAAGTCAAAGATTCATTTGCTGGAGAAAACTGTCATATTTTAAATGGTAATTGCATATAAGTTCGTAGACTTGCTTAAAACCTTAAAGTGACTGAGGAAACCTTCAATTTCAGAGATTAGATGTGTTTATAAAGGAGGCTGTAAGATCACAAGAACTTGAATGTGTTATGAATTTTGCAGGAATGGATGGACATTTTCTCCACTGTCACACTTTTCATATTTTCTTCTGTTAGAGTGAATTAGTGTCTATACAGGGAAACACAGCACTGAATTAAAGGGTTAGTTCACCCAAAAATAATAAATTAGCCCATTAATTACTCAAAAATTACTCATAAATTGCACAAAGCCGACCTCATACGTCATCAGCCCGGAGCTGCTTCCGTGTACAACTGTTGGCGCAAGCTACATTAAAGTGATTATTATGCTTTGAATATGGATAATTTTCTTACAAAAACTCATCGATTCGCTACAGGAGGCCTTTGTTCACCCCCCGGAGTCGTGTGAGACACTTTTTTTATGGATGGGCACTTTTTATTTAACTTCTATTGGACTGATGCATGCAACACCCGCTGAGTGGCATTAAACAGCTTGAAAGATCAAAGACAATTTTTTATATAACTCCGACTGGATTCGTCTGAAAGAAGAAAGTCATATACACCTAGGATGACTTGAGGGTGAGTAATTTATGGGCTAATTTTCAATTCTGGGTGAACTAACCCTTTAAGAGTGATTTCTAGCTCTTTTGCTGAAGCAGGCAAGCACAGTCACATGCAAATTGATGCTTTAGCTTCACATATCACTTTAAACATGAATGGAAAGGCAAACAATGAGCTATGTAAAGCAATAACATATGGTTTGTAGAAGCACCAAGTCAGTGTGATTTCAACTCAAAAATCATGTTTAATTTAACTACTCATAATTCTTAAAGGAAATCAAAAAAGTCACCATGGAAACCAAAATTGCAACATAAGAGCTCAGAAATGACCACACATCTCATGAAGCATATCAAATTGATCAGATTACATAATTTGCAATACTACATGAGATTGTAGTTTATGCTTTCATAAACAACGTTAAGTACAAATTCTTGTACCTTTGTCTGTTTGTTCAATTTTCATATTCTTTTTTTTTTTTGTTACAAATAAAGTTTGGAATGTTATGATTCATCTCAGAGCTGGTTGGTTTTCGTCCATGACTTCTTATTAAAGCCTTTATTAAAGTACTTTTTGAAATCCCTATTGAGAAAATTAAGGGAAAAAATGCAGAGGAAAAAGTTAAAAAAGTGAGCAGTCACTGTTGTGCATTTCATTTCTTTCAACATTTTTCTAACTAGTACTTTAAAGTTTAGTTGTTTGTCACCCACCTGTCTTCCGGCCTCGCTGTTATGCAGGTTCATAGTGAACAGGGCGTCCTCAACACGGGCTGATGTGTTCTTTACTGAATTGTCAATGAAGCGACGGCTGAATGAAGTCCCGAAGGCGATGTCATCGGAGCACCCACCCCAGTGCCAGCCCTCCGTGGGCGAACCGCTGCCCAAAAGGCTCATATCACACGAACACTCTGTCATATTTCCTGCACTGCAAGAGCGAGTGACTGCATGAACCAGGCCGGCAGCCATTACTGTGTAGATAAACGCTGTCTCTTTTGTCCCTTAAAAAACAAAAAAGAGAATTTAAGCAAGAAGCCGATGCAAGTTAAATACTTACAAATGCGGAAACAACCAAAAATGATGGGAATGTAAGATTCACAGCAGGACATTTGTGAGAAGGGTCTCAGGGCAGCAGTATCAGAGTCTGGGAATGTTACCTACATTCATACAGAGAAACACTGATATCACACTATAAAATGAGCAAAAATGTTTGGCTGAAGAAATTTCTTTTTTATTGTGAGAACAGATGATGTAAAAATTCTTAACATCCTTTTAACTGAACAGAATTGTTTTATTAAAGTGACCATTTTATACATGAAGTAAATGGTTCTGTACATTTCAGTGTTTCTGATTAAATGTTATTTACAATAAATATATACATTTAATTGCAGATCCTAATAAAAATCACTTTATGCAGCTTAAGTTTTAATTGGGAGCAAACTAGTTATCTAGTCATAAATTCATGCATGTAGTTTCTATAAAGCTAATTTTAATAGCTTATATAAAATAAAATTTAAAATATAAGACTCATTTTTTATTAAATTTGGTTTATAATGTTTTACCTTTAAACTTGATTTCTCAAAAATATCTGCCAACTATGATTTTTTTTCTTTCTTTCTTTCTCTTTTTCTATTACTTTCAAGAAAGGTGACCTAAACATTTAAAGCAAGAAGCCTAAATAACTGGAATAGAATAGAATAATAAACATTTCAGTTTCATTTCTGATAGTAAATGCCTATAACATTACTTTAAACCCTGGTTGTAGCTGCATGAAATCAGACCTATATCAAATTCAGTTTCCCCTTGAATCAACTTGAGCTTGAAATTGAACTACTCTGGAAGAGAAACTAATCTTACAATGGATTCACAAAAATCAAGCAACAAGTTCTACCATTTCAGTTTTACTCTTTTTGTAATCACTCTAATCCTGCATGCATTAAATTCAGGGCCAGATAAAGACCATAGTAAATTTAGTATAGAGATGGTTAACCTAAAACAGATGTGTCACAGGTTGTTTCCAAAATCAAATCATCTTTTCATAAACATTTCAAATCAAAACAGTCATTAAGGGGTCAAAAATAGGATTAACTGTCAATTAACATTCAGATTCTTTAAGCAATTACAAAGTGATGATCTCTCATTATATATCACAGAATGACCGACGTTTTTTTTCATGACAAGATGCTGATTATTTTTGTTGAAGTGTCCAATAACCACATATGCATATTTTAAATAACTGTTTTCTGCTTTTAGACATAATATTACAATAATTACTAACTTATGAAGGTGAACAGCCTGCTTTATGAGACTAATGCACACCAAATAAATAATTTAACCATTTTTCTAGCCATATACAACACTCCTCAAATTGTATTTCTTTGCTCAGTTTCTTTGAATCAAAATTCGTTAAATTACATTTAAAATTACATGCATTGATTTTTAAAATAAAAACTATTAAGACAGTATTACCATCCTAAGTTGTAATATTTTTCGTCTAGTGATTATTTGATCGCGTTGGCCAAACTTTACTACTAATTTTCATTACTTTTATTAATGAAAATTAGTAGTAAAGTTTGACCAACGGGATCCTAAGTTGTAATATTTTTCGTCTCGTGATTATTTGATCGCGTTGGTCAACCTTTACTACTAATTTTCATTAATAAAAGTACACTCTAGAAAATGCTGGGTTAAATACAACCCAGTGCTGGGTAAAATAGGGACAAACCCAACCTTTAGGTTTAACCCAACCTTCTGGGTAGTAACCCAACCGCTGGGTCAAAACATCCCAATTGCTGGGTTTGTCCCTATTTTACCCAGCACTGGGTCGTATTTAACCCAGCATTTTTTAGAGTGTAATAAAAAACAGGATTATAAAGTTAAAGCACATTCAAATTAAGTCTGTTTCAGTATGACACATTGCATGCTTACCACTGGTGAGCTCGTAGCCGAACACGTTCGGGTCCCGTCGGGTCGAGCAGTTCCAGCGCTCGTGTTTGAACTGCGTTTGGCACTCGGTGATGCCCAGGCGCGCGCCCTCTTTAATGCTCGGCAGAAGGTGCGGTTTGCGCGCGCACAACTCCTTCTGCTTGTGCGACAGGGGCAAATGCGCGCAACCCAACTTCTCGGGCACTCCTACAGATGTGATGCCCAACCACCTGTGATGCGGAGTAGTGTGACACAAATATCAGAAGCGGTTCTCCTCTCCTGTCGGCAAATGCCATAACCAGGCCCGAGGAAAAGGAGACAATTTTCAAACATTTTATTCAAACATTAATTGACAGTACAACAACACAGCACTTATAATACTTACATCCAACTTCCCTGAGAGCACAGAGGGCAAACTGAGAGCCACAGAAGGAATAAATGGTAAACTGCATGTATCCCATAACCGGTTTTATCCATGTCCACTTCATTTAACAAGTCCCGAACTGAATGTTTGGACAAAGACGATTCATACCGGTCCACTACATCTAATATCTAGCGTATGTAATCCACAAACGGCGCTTTTAAATTCATAAATGTCCCTTTTAAGTATCCATTAAGTCGCAGGTACGAACAAAAGCGTCCAACCACCACCAAGTCACCTTCGCCATCAGTGTGAACTCAAATAGACACAAACAGTTATATGCTGCTGTTGCTGCTGGAAAATGCGCATCTAAACACTCTCCTGTGAAGCACTCCCACATCGCGATTGGTCGAACCGATCATTAATATTCATAAGATGAGATTGTTCTTAGCACTGATTGGACAAACAGATCTCGGCTTGGAGGCCGGTGAGAGAGCACAAAGCGAGAGACTTGGGCAGAAAGAATCAGTCATTTCAGCAGCTCACTTGATTAAGGATTTTGTGAGGTTGAAAGAACAGGATAAAAAGGACTCGAGTATCTAACTGAGCATTTTTAACTTAAGTGTTTAACGAATATTTTGAAACCAATATTAAAATAAAAAACGGGAGAATAGAGAAACGCAGAAAGACGCTTAGGGCATTGTAAAACATTTTAAAGCAAAACCGTTGTTTAATTAATACTACTTAAGTGCACACGGTGTTCACACTAAACAATAACTTTCAGAGGCATCGACTTTTATAAAATAACTGCAAAAATTTAATAGTTTTAAACGTCCAACATATTAAGTAGGCTAACATTAGAGTAAATGCTAAGGAAACATTAATTAACGCAGTTTGTAGTTTGTCACACTAGCAGAGTTAACTGTACTTATACAATAAAAACTTTACGTTTTGTGATATATTTTTGATATGTAAATTTGTTATAAGCAATAATAAAGTGATACCGCCTCACTTCATCGACGAACCGCATGAAAACTCATTAAGAGCTCGTGAGCAAACGTACTGTTGTTATGGTTACCTGCAGCGTCAGGTGAAAATGCGCGCTCTAACTAATCTTTTATCATAACTGAAATTCCATGACTGAAGCGGAAAGTTACAGAATATTGCTATTTCGTTTAATTTCTATCTAAGAGGGATTTCGATTTTGCTTATAATCCAGAAATAATTAAAACAACTAAACATTAATTAAACGTTCCAGTTGAGAAAAAATCCTAAATGAATAAAATGCAAATGTAGTTTTATAAATGAGCAAACATATATGCGTGTTATACTTTGATGGCTTGGTCTGTTTCACCCACAGTTACTGATAATCAACATTTATAATGATTTTTCATAAGTTAAGCAACACATTTTTGGTTTGGTGTCGATGAAGGCGGGGCACAAAAAGACAAAAGTTGTTAAAACTGCTTAAATATTCTAATATATTTAAAAAATCAGTTTGCATGAACACAGTATGCCAATAAAATATGACACGGTAGAATCAAACTAAATATAAGAAAAACATTTGATAAATTCAAAAAGCAACGTGTTTTAAATTATGAAAATGTACATTTTTAATTGTTCAGGATAAGTGATATTCATCATGATTGTTGGAATCATACATTTCATGCACAGGCGACACAGATGAATATCTTGGCATAGCTCTTCATAAACATCCAAATAATTTGACCCTAAAATTCTGACATATCAAAAAGAGAGTTATCACGCACTGCGGAATATTAACAGGTCAACACATAGTTTCATGTGATTTCATTTCACTTAATAGCGTACGTGCCCATTCTGAGCTCAGCTTAACAACTGGTGGGAAGATCAATTTTATGGGATTTTTCAAATTAATCCTACTAATTTTCTCTCCTCAAAAGCCACTTCCTGTTTAACGTAAATTATGGACAAATGAAACATCATGCATTCCAGCAATTTAGAGTAAACCCAGCAACAATATAAAAATGTTTACCATCAAAACAGTATAAATATCTTTTTTGTAAACAGCATTTATAACATTTTACACGGATTATTATTAAAGGCACTGGAAAACACTGGTAGAAAAATAAATGTATGAGGAACATAAGACAGTAATACTATAACATACAATATACTTCATAAGACCTTTGGCATAGAAAATACTTCATAAATACTTGTGAACCTGGCATGTGAAGGAAAGGCGGTGTAAAGCTAGACTTCAAAACGTTGCCCGAGCTTCCACAAAAGTGACAATGTGAAGCAGGGTGACATCAAAGGCACTCCACAGCAGCCGCGAAACATACTGGGAACGTTTCAGCCCGTGGTTCAGCAGTAGCAGCATTGTGGGAACGTTGCATGAGCATTGTAGGAAAGCTTTCATAAGGCTGTTTGAAGGGTCCGTGCAACCGTCTGTTATTTTTCTACAGCGTCGCACCGCAGCCACTGCCTGCCCTTAAGCCGCAGCTGCCAAAGTCATTTTGGCAGGGCTTCAGGAGGTCTCATTGAACCCCCTCACACCCCTTTTCCATCTGGATCGCTCTACACTAAAACACATATGCGCAAACCGACACCTACCTAACTCGTCCTCCAATTTACCACTTTGATCCAGCATATGGTTAAGTAGATTCAGACCATTCGGTGTGCACAGTTTAGACCTTTTACGCAGATTTCTCAACACATATACATATTCACAGCTAATCATACAGACACACACCTGAAAAACACGCACAGGTTAGCGTCACCAGCCGCTAATTGTCCTTTTTGTCACTGTTGGCGAATGGTCCCGTTGACGGCGTGATTCACACATATCCTGCTGAGAAGGATTTCCGAATACACCGCGTTCACTGGTCCCTTTACGTGGTAGGACACGTCAGGTTGAGACGACGGTTCCTTGTGCTCTTGAGGCCCCGTCTGCTCATTGGTCGGATTCCTGCTTTCTCCACCAACCCTAAAGATCTTTAACTTTCTTTGGGAAGCAGCAGTTGGAAAGGGAAGCTTATAGACCTGCAAACAACATAATATAAGACATATTTAGTGGTCACATTTGAAGCTAATCAATGATCTATTGCATAGGGAATATGAGATTTCAATCATGTAAGCAAATAACATTGTCTATCTGTGTGTGGCTCTGTTCTCTCACATGGGACACATTTTTTAAATTAGGGATCTAGCCTTTATCACATTTCAGTTTTATATCCTCTTAAATCGCCAATTCTTATGAGCTCCCTGCTCTACAAAATACTTAAGGTTAAGAGCTTGTTTCTTCCGAACACTAAACAACAAAAATACATTGTAAAAGTATAAATTATAAAAAAAAAAAAAAACAAGCAACAGCTCCTCTTAGCAAAAGACCCTGATGTTATGTGTCTCTGGGTCTAAATCTGCTGGCCTGTTGTCAGATCTAGTGATATCAGTCCCATATGTGAGCTGGTTTGGCATTTCTACCACCACTTCACACACTTAGCAAGCTAATCCATCTGTTCCCAACCTGCCCTTTATTGGCTAATAAAAACCCGCCTAATTGCTAATTACTCATTAAGTGACCTGCCAGGCACTTTTAGGGTGAGGTAAAAAAGGAATGGCTTCTCTTTTAAAAGATTTATGGGGCTGGAAGGCCGGAAAAGTGTTTCTAGCAGGATCTATATCCATATATATGAACAGTAGAACTGATTCATTCACAAAAATGGATGTGTGGATCTAAAAAAATTCTAATCAGCCTAAGTACATAAGTAAATAATTGTGTTGCATTTTTTACTGTATTAATGAGAATCTAGTAATGATAATTGAATGATAATAACTTTGTACACTACTATTCAAAAGTGTAGGGTTTGTAAGGTTTTGTGATGTTTGTAAGATTCTTGTAATATAAGGCTGTATTTATTTAATTAAAAATACAGTAAAAACAGTAATATTGGGAAAATTATTACAATTTAAATAAAAATTTACTAAAAAAAAGCTTAATATATTACTATAAAAAGCTTTTTACTATAACTTTAACTATATAATATATTATAAAAATTAAAATTAAATTAAAATTAAAATTATTTTTTTTCCCTGTGATGGCATTACTCCAGTATTCAGTGTCACATGATTCTTCAGAAATCATCCTAATATGTGATTTGCTGCTAAAGAAACATTTCTTATCATCAATGTTGAAAACAGCCGTGCTGTTTTAATTTTGTTGTGGAAACTGTGAGGATTCTTTGATGAATAGAAAGTTCAAACAAACAGTGTTTATTTGAAATAGATTTTTTTTGTAACAATGTAGAAGTATTTTTTACTGTCACATGACCTCATATCCAAGATGCTTGGCACTTTCCAGAATATTCTTGTTCACATTATAGAGTTCTTGCACTCCATTCTAGGACCAATGAAAGAAGACAAAAAGGCTGACAAAGTTGATAGATGTCAATAAATGAATGAATAAAGTGGAAAAGAAGAATATCTGGTCAACAGACCAAACCCATGGATTTTGTAATCTCCAGTAGTTCTTACCAGTGGAAGGGAGCGAATACCATCCACAGGCAGATGGAAACCCATTCCTAAAGACTTCACCACCACCACGATTTTCTCAAGACCCTCCCTTGGAGATAAGTTAGAGATATGATTTGCTGCTCAAGAAACATTTGTTATTATTATAAATTTTGAAAACAGTTGTACTGCTATTTTTGTGTGTGAAGTTTTAAAGGATTATTTGATGAATGGAGTTCAAAAGATCAACATTTATTTAAAATAGAAATCTTTTGGAAGATTATATATGTCGTTACTAGTACTTTTTAACAATTTAATGCATAATTTCTTAATAAAAGTAATACTTTTTTCATTAAAAATAAATAAATCTTACTAACCTCAAACTTTTAAATGGTAGTGTGTATACATATTTCAACACTTAAAGTAAAACTCAGCTTTTTAATTTAATTTAGCAAAAACAAAATGCGTCAGATCATTCAAGCAGCTCCCAAAACACATGTCCTCAACAGATGCACACTATAACACACTCAAACACACACACAATCACATCTGTGCACCATATCCTACCCCTCTGCCCACATCAGTAGCTGTGAGAGATCAACGGCGCGCTGAGCCAGCAGTGGTTACCGTCCCTGCTGACATACTCTGATCTGACAAACGGCCTCCCAACCACATGCAGCCCACATCCCACCATCAAACACACTGCCAAAGTCATTCAGTGTGTTAACAAGGCCTTTGCCACTTTAGACCGACACCAAACCCGCACATTCACAGCTTAATGGGTGTAATCCACAGCCACATGGAGACAAACATCATCCAACATGCACATACACAGACCTTTCTAGAAGCTGCTGCAGAGCTCTTTGGAAAGTGGGTCTCTGGGCCTTCGGCAGCCAGAATTGTGGGTAGTAGGAGTAGCTGGCGCTAGTTCTGCCCTGATTCAGGTTGTGGTAGACGATGGTGTCGTGGGCCTTGTCCCAGTCCTCCAGAGTAGTGTTCACCCTCTCCATCAGGTAGTACATCATCCCTCGATTGGTGGAGTCGCCGATAAACAGGACCTGAGGGAAATCATGCATGTATAGATGTTGTGAGACTAAAACAGGTTAAACCAAGTCCTGGACTGGTTTCTTAAACCCATTCTTGTCAAGTCCAGAATTATACTGCACAATACGCACAATCATTCATTTCAAAGGCACAACTAATCATTGTCTATGTGTTTTACCACCACCATAAAGGGTCTACTTTTGCATCAAATGAAATAGCTTTTTCAAGGCCACTGATTTTAGTCTTCATCTAATTTAATTGTGTATAATTCAAAAATTTGTCCATACTATTAACTTATATTCATCGTTAGTTCATGTTCAAGTCCAATAAATAATATGAACAGATACAACTTTTGATTTTAATAATGTATTTGTAAATGTTGAAATTGATATTAAGGTTAATGAATAGATTAATAAATGCTTTATTTCATTTTTTATCATATCTATTTTTCGTTGTCAGTTCATGTGAACTTATGCAGAACTTATAATGTTAACAAATATAAATTTATTGTAAATTGCAAGCATTTTTATTATGAATACTGCATATTTATAGTATTAGTCTGTCATAAATCCTACAAATTAAAATAATTTAAAAAAGAATGTAAAATATTATATAATGGATGCGGTATAGCATACATATACATGTGTGTATATATATATATATATATATATATACACAGTACAAATATATATATATATATATATCTTAACTCTTAAGTGTACAGACAACACAAACATGAGGAAATGAAATAACAATTGTGTCATTATAAGGGCAAAAGATACAATATGGCCTTTTCAGATCACAGTTGCCATGAAGCACTTCACAAGAGTCTAATAAGATTGGATGTTCATCTGTGTGTGCTCTTTTGGCAGTGAAGTTGCCAGTCTAAATCACAAGATCTCAGAGAGCAGGCATTGGCTGACACTGTGGTCTGCAGACATGCTCACAAAATTAAGGACACATATTTTCAACAAGAAGTCAGGAGTTGCTCTCATATTATTCCAAACCTGTAGTTCCAAATATATTCATCAAAAAAGTAGTATATACCATTTTTGTTATCCTTTTTCAACTCTCATTTTATGTCAATAGCTGTACAACAATTCTTTAAAAATGTGTTTTGTACAGGAAACGTAACAGTATACAAGTTTGGGAAGACAATGTGAACTCCAAACAATACATTAGGCTGTCTCCAGACTGCAGAAATGGATTTAACATGAAACAAACTCATGCATATAACTCTAGACCTTGACAATCTAAAGCTCTTTTATTTGAAACAATCTTTCCTGAAGAGTTCTTCTTTTCCTGTTGAATGGGCTCGCAGTCAGAGGGCTGTGGTTTGTCTATAGCGAGAGCCTGGGCCCTTGTGTAATGTGGCCATTTGTTTGTGTCAGATCTGATCTTGTGAGTCTTAAATCGAGACAGAGTGGAAAGAGTCATGCTGTGAGGATGAGCGCTGAGGGAGCGTTTGAAGCAGGAACAGACTGTAGGTTTGGCACACAGCTTTGAAAACCCCTGCTGGGCTTTAAGCAATAATTTAAAAACAACCCAAAACACAGGAGGTGTGCAGATCACATCAAGAAAAAAATTACAATAAAATAAAATCTAACACCAAACACAGGAGAGTATAGGTTTTCTTCTCCAGAATCTTTCCCCTATTCTTTCCTAAGGAGTTTACACTATACCTATGATTACATATAAAAGCAGCAGTGTAATTGAATCATGCAGCTGCTGTGAGCTCAGCTGTAGATGAAGCTCAGCACATGCTGTTAATCTCTGATAAACAGCTGCTCATTGCCACTGGCATTCAATGCTATTTTAGGTGCCTGCCTTTAATTTATTCCTCAGTACTGTATACGCACACATATGGCAAAGCTTTAAGCTGCATACAGAAGAGCTGACGAAATGTACTTTTACATCAAGTCCAGAAAAAACTAAGTGCTGGTAACACTTTATAATAACTTCCATTAATGATTCATTAAAATATTGAACATTTAAACACAAATATATGGTGGCCTCAAAAAGTACACTACTGTTTAAAAGTTTGGGGTCAGTAAGATTTTTTTTTTTTTTTTTTAGAAATTTATATTTTTATTCAGCAAGGATGCTCTCAATTGATCAAAAATGTCAGTAAATACATTTATAAGACTACAAAAGATTTTTATTTAAACATTTTTTTTTTTTAAACTTACAATTTAAAATCTTTCTACTCATCAAAGAATCCTGACAAAAATCTATCACAATCCCAAAAAGTATTAGGCACCAGAACTGTTTTCAACATTGATAATAAGAAAAAATGTTTCTTGAGCATCAAATCAGCATATTAGAATGATTTATGAAAGATCTTATGACACCGAAGACTAGAGTAATCACAGGAATAAGCTACTTTGTAAAATATCTTCAAATAGATACAAAAATATAGTAACATTTCGCAATTTTTGATTGTATTTTGGTGAGACTAAGAGAATTCTTTAAAATAAATAAATAATTAAAATGTGCCTGACCCCAAATTTTTTGTTTTGTTAAATAGTTATGATCTGTTAAGCATTACATAAAATGTTTAAGTTACTATGTGAAAATGTGTATTTTGCCATTTAAGTCACAAGATGATGATGCATACACTAGGTACAAAATACAGGTACAAAAGCTGTCTCTGGGGCAGTACCTTTTCAAAAGGTACTAATATGTACCATTTAGGTACTAATACTGTACCTTTGAGGTACTAAAATTTGCACCATTTAGGAATAAATAAGGTACAAAAGTATAACTTTTGAAAGGGTACAGTCCCAGTGACACTGTACACTTTGTACCTTTCTTCTGACAATATAGGGTAACCAAGCACCCACTGGTACTGATTTAATTTTTTAAGTATTTTTGGTTCCTGGTTCCTCACCTTCCGGTCCATCATGCAGGTTTGCAACTGAGGTTGGTCCAACAAGGGGTGATAACAGCTGTCGGGCTGCCAGGCAACCTCTCTCCAATCACAAGTCCTGTTGTCTGAACAGCTCAGGCATGGGACGACCCAACGACCTGATAAGAAACGGAAAATATTTTGTTATAGTGTCTTTATAGTGCATTATACTCAATTTCCATGACAGCATCTACTCAAATTACAGCATTCACAGGTGATTCATAGTGGAGTGAATCTCTGTGAAGTTTTGAAGTCTTATACAGCTGTATGTCAAAAGTTCAGCATAAAAAGATGAATCAGGTGGGAAACTCCAGCTAGACATGATTACTTCATTGTGCCAGTTTCAGACAGTCCCCTACATGGCATAATATTCTATTTGTGGCATATATACCTATTTTTGCCTTAATCACTGATGCACACAAACAGTGTAAACAGTTCATTAAAGTAATCGCCACTGACTTTGATGTACTACCCTGCTGAGGATGGCCTTTTTACTTTTATAGCACTGACTGAACCGTCCTCTGAACCCTAACCTGGTGGTTTTAAATCTAAACAGCTGAACACACACTCACAGAATTGAAACCTGTATGAAGTGATTATATTCCGCCATAAAGTCAGCATGGAGGTCCTAACCTTATAATTAAGCAATGCTTCAACTCAGGCAATGAATCAATGCATTATCACATTGTAAAAGCAGACACATAAATTACCAAACTCTGAGTTCACTAGCAAACCTTTCCCATCCTCTAGTGGAGCGGCTAATAAACCATGAATCTCATGCTAATGTAGCCAAACACATGATGAACTACTTTGCCAATGAAATATATGGTTTTAGGACCAACATCATCTTTCATACAGGAGGAAAAATATGTGGAAAATGTATCATCTGTCCACAAAACAGACAATCTGCAACAACTGGTTTGACTTAATACCTTGAATGAAAAAAAAAATGGGATTGTAAATCTTACAGCAAGTTTCAGATTCAAATTTCAGATACTTTACTACAAGCCCATGATCAAAACCTGGAAACAACCTACCAGGTTCATCTCCTGAGAGGCAAGGCTGAGGTGAGGCCTGGGCCTCTTCTGAAGATCTCGTCCCTGGAATGGGCTCCAAACCGCAGGGCTGATCTGGTCTGACCACCAGGCCACAGTCCTGCTCAGATACAGTGAGAACAGAAAAGAAGAGAAACAGGTGAGCTTTGAGTCTGGAAAGACATTCTGAGACAACGGTCGCACTCTTGTGTTAAAAATTTAAGCACTCAAGACAATAAAATATTTTTTGACAAATAAAGATTGAGTCGTTTCAAAGTTTCCATAGCTTTTTTTCCACCCCCTTCGCTTTCATGTGGTCGCGTACGCGAGGTTCCTCACAGACAAATTAACACAGGCGCGCCATCTGACGGCCTTGCTCCTTGTTAGGGGTCAAGGGTCAAACAAACCCAACAGGCTAAATGACAACATCGAGCCTGCTCCGCCGACCCCTGAGGTCCCTCACGGGAGCCATCGGGTCTGGCTCCACTTCAGAAGACCGGCTCTTCGTTCGCTCTTTCATTTGCCCCCTTCCTTAGCACTTTGCACAGGGGCTTCTCAAAGTCACGTAACATTCCCCAAGTTCCCGCCGCTGTTCTCGACAAAGTGCCACAAGACAACTTAACAGGGATTTTCTTGTTGTACCTGCACACAGTGTGTGTGTGCAAACACGAGCGGGCTTTTGATTCTGAGCAGGCCGGCATAAATCAGCAGGTTAGTCCGAGCCTGGCGGAAACCGCCTAGCACTTTAAGCATCGGAGCCGGTGAAAAGTTAGCATCCCTCCGGAAAGGAAAATGCATATAATTAATTCACAAAGAGGGCAAAGAAACATGAAAGAACAAAACCTCTTAATTTTATCTCTCTCATCGGTCATTTTTCCATTCCCCGGAGAAGAAAACGATGGAAAAACAGTTTCATCCAAGGTCAGGTACTCTCAGTTTCTTGCGGTGATGGTTTAGCAGGGAAGCCAGCGGATGAATTTGAGATCAGAGCTTGGCTTTCAGATGATACAGGACATCCTTCTGCCTCTATATCACCAGAGAATAATGAATCAACAACATCTGGTTAATGAGGATTTTATAAAAAGAGTATGAATGAGAGGACATGAGAGACTGGGGAATAGAATAGACAACGAGAACAAAAAAAAAATGTTGAAATGTAATTTGACAGTATCTATTGATTTAATAGTAGATAGTAGTAGATAGTAATTTAGCAGGTTCTGTGAAATGTTTTGTGTGCAATTCATTTACCATTTACGATGCCATGATTTACAATACCATTTATGTTACAGACATAAATGATACCCTTAATTTGTTAGGATTATTAATATTCTATGTCACTGATGAAAGACTAAAACAGATTTTAAATGCAACAAGTAAATTTAAAAGTCACACAATTCTAATGAACAGTATTAAAAACTTATTATATGATTTTGAGATATGCTGAAGATTACACTTAAGAGTATTATTAAATTATTATTAGAGCATAGTGTTTTTAAAATTTGATTTGAAAATGACAGTAAACACAGCAATATTGTGATATAGTATTACAATAAAAAACTGTGTTCTATTGTTAAATTTTAAAATGTAATTATTTTAAAATGTATTAATTATAATATGTATGCATATATATATATATATATATATATATATTTGTTAATTAGATATTTACCATATAAAATAATAATAATAATAATGGTTATTATTATTATTATTATTATTATTAATGTAGTTAACAGCTTTTTCCAGGATTCTTTGATGAATAGAAAATTCAAAACAAAAGCACTTATTTGAAATAGAAATCTTTTGAAACATTATAAATGTCTTTATTGCCTCTTTTGATCATTTTAATGCACCCTTGCTGAATACAAGTGTTAATTTCTTTAATAACTTAATAACTTTTGATCAGTAGTGTATATAAATTCATATTCTTTAGAAAATGCAGAATTTGCTTATATGATTACATATTACAGAAATACAGCAAGACAGCTTAAACACTCTTTTTGCAAGATTGTTTAATATGCATTCACTGTATGTGTGCGTTTTTCAGAGTGTGTGTGAACATTAAAGTTCTGAACGCTTGCCGAGCCACTCATGTTGGTTCCAGGGATCAGAGACCAACAGCAACGGCAGTGAAATCTCCACTGATCAAAGTAAATAACCCGCGCTGCTAGAAAAGAAAGGATTATTGTGGTACATCAGACCGTGCTCTCGGCGGTCTCTGTTTTAGTACCAGCTCTCACAAACCCCTTCAGATTCCACGAGAACCCTCTACTTAGCTTTTATCTTTAAAAGTTTGTTTCGAGAGAGAGTCTTAAGCCCTCTGAGAGGAAGTACACATACTTAAGAGGTTTGTTTTAATAAGCCGCCATTGGAGACGATGCCCTCAGCTGTAGTGCAATGAAAGACATAAAAATTTACAAGCAGGAGATTAGCAGCTTTCATCCAACATGTAAAACCATTCCAGTGGGATCAAGTGTTCTTCTATATGGGACGAAAGTAAAGCAAATGCTAGTTGAAATGAAACTTTTATAGAAAAATACACAAAAGTTGAGATAAGGGAACATCATGCTCACTGTTAATTTTATAAATACATTTCTTCTTTTTTGCCATTTTATTCATTAGATAGCAGAAAGTATGAAAGCTCGTTTCTGCCACTGAATAAAAAATAAAAAGGTAATTGCAACTTTTTACCTCACAATTCCGACTTTTTTCTCAGAATTGTGAGATATAAACTTGCAATTGTAAGAAAATATACGTTTTTTCTTTATAACACGTAATTGCGAGTTTATATTTCAATTCAGAGAAAATAAGTCAGAAAAAATAAAATTGCAAGAAAAAAAGTCAGATTTGCCCGTTTGTATCACTCAATTCTGAGAAAAAAATGTGAGATGTAAACTTGCAACTGCGAGAAAAAAGAATTGTGAGATGAAAAAGTCACAATTACGTTTTTTATTTTTTATTCAGTGGCGGAAACAAGCTTCCGTAGAGAGAATAATCTTTTTTTTTTTTACATTTATTTTTGTGAATCTTTGTAATAATAATGGGAGTATATTTTTAAAAGCTCTCCTCAAATATGACCTTTTCCTGGCATGAAAATAAGGTGAAGTAACCATGACATTTTGTCAGATGGGAACTTGATTTGACAAATGTTTTATTTCAGGTCAGTGTGGGATGTCCAAGTGTTCAGCCAACAAAGAGACTTAGAAACTGGCAGATAAGCTGATGTATTTGTTGCATGCTTTCTTCAACACTAATCAATGCAAAAACGAAAGTGTAATTAAATTGGGTGGATTGTGAGAAGTGCCGTACAGATGTCCCATCTGGTCACTGAAATACAGCCTTTGTTATGAAAGACTGAGGTGGCTTTACCCACAGTGTTTAATGTAATCCTGTGGATTGTGGATTGTGATCCTATAGAACTGTCATGCTGTCAGTCAATCCCTCACACTATAAGACAAGCTATTGGGTTTCATTTCAATTAGGACGGTGAGAAACGAAGGCGGCATATGCTGCAGGCATCAAAAAGCTGTATTTAAAAGAATATAAAGGAGGTATTCTGACTGGATCCTTTAATCAGCTAAGAGAACAGAAAGAGAGCTTTTATTTAGTGCAACTTCAAAAGTTAAATTCTAGCATTCACATTTAGCAAGTGAAAGATCACAGACCACGAGGGAGAAAATTCTGAATAGAAGAATATGTAAAGAGAAGGAAGGAAAATAAAATAAAATAAGCAATTCCAAGAGGGTCCTCCTCACACCATTGCTGCTCGGGCCCTAATTTAGCCATTTTTATGGATTAGATCAAGTCTATTTAATCACATTACCACTGTTTACAGTGTAACAATTATTTCCTTGTGTCTCCTAGATGAACAGAAAGGAACCATGGACCAAGTCACCGAATCATTCACTAAGAAGAAGAAGCAAATAGCAATTTGATATACTTCATATTCAAAGTATATATGACTGTTTGTCAAACTGTCTCAGGCTCTGCTCTAAGTTCTATGTCTCCAAACATAATTACACAGATAAACATACACGAACACACACATATGGATGCAATCATCTGTAGCAGGCCCAAGCCAAACAGCTCATATAGCTTTTGGAAAACAGTATAGACATGCTCTTATAAGGTCAGGTTATCTGAAGAAGAGCTTTACTCCACATCTGGACTCTGCTTTCATACAGTAGATCTCTATTAGAGCTGAATGCAGAGCTACTGCCAGCTATAACCTAAACATGCACACACTTATGGAAGTGAGCAGATAAATCTGAGGCGAAATAAAAAGACAGGAGGATCTAACTCAAATCCACAGAAGAAAGCCTGCTAATGCCCTTCTCTTTGCACTCAATTCACAAAAATAGTGAATCTCGGTAGTGGTATAACACCATACTATGCATACTATTTTAGAAGTATGCAATACATTATCTGCAAAGTGCATAGTATGCAAATTTAATTTAATTACAGTTAATGTTTATTTTATTTAAAGTAACCTTTTTTAATGTTTTACATTTTTGTGTCAGTTTTGGTTAAATAATAAAATACATACAAACATTAATAAATAATTTGGATAAAATATTAATAATGATAGTGTGTGTACTGTATGAACTCATTGTGGACTAAGATCCAATGCCACTGCTATTAATGAATATTGTAAGTCTGTATCGGATATGAGATCAGTGGATTCCACTAATACAAACCACATGAGTACACACACAAACACAGAATATCTAATTACTGATATTTGCAATGGTCTTCTGAATAATTATTGGATATGCTGACTGTAAATGCTTTCCAGGCCAGGTTGAACTGTAGGGCAGGCGGGGTTCAGGGGTTCATGACCTCTGATTGCATCAGCAGTCAGTGTCAGCATCTGTTCTGAGGGGATCAGATCAAAGCTTATGAGGTTTGGGGTTCACGTGTTTGAACACTGTCTTCGCTAGCTCGTTTTTTTTTTTTTTTTTACTGAAGTGGTGTTCGACAGCTGTGGTTCTGACAAATTTGAGTCGTAATGGAAGATGACAGATGGAATCCGGTGTCGAGTCAAGCTCTATTAAAGGATCTGAGCAATCAAAATATGCACCCATCATCTACAGAAGATAGAACACAAGGATGCAATGAGAA